GACTATGCGGTATGGGTTTTCTCATTCTTGAAGACTGTACGGTAACCTATAGTTGAAAACTTCTATGTCATGTGGTCTCTGGAGATAGTTGTCTTATTGGCTATCATACCACATATTATTCTTTTTATTAACAACATTAATCAGTACAGCTTTAATAGACACAGTCTGTTATATCGAATGTTAACATTAGTGATATACAAATAAGGAGATGTGGTATGATTGCCAATGAGAAAACTATCCACAAGAAATAAAATGAAGTGGTGTTAAGTAATTATATGCCACCTTCGACAATGAGAAAACCCCATACAGTATAGTCGGCTATAAAAGGCCTTGACATAAAAAATGTGAAAACCTAACGGCCTTATTTATAACAAATATATATATATATATATATATATTTCAGATTAGGGTGAAGGTTGGCGCCTGTTAAAACGTTTAAACCCGCTGCATTTGTTTGCACCTGTCCTAAGTCGGGAACCTGTTTCAGTGGTTGTCGTTTGTTGATGTGGTTCTTAAGTGTTTCTCGGTTCTCGTTTTTTATGTAGATCAGACCGATGGTTTTCCTGTTTGAATTGTTTTTATAGTCATGTTGTGGCCCTTTATAGCTTGCTGTTCGGTGTGAGCCAAGGCTCCGTGTTGAAAGGCCGTACTTTGAATGATCTATAATTGTTTTCTTTTTACACATTGTGACATGGATGGAGAGTTGTCTGGTTGGCACTCATTCCACATCTTCTTATTTCTATGAACCACTGCACCAGAGAATGTGGCGGGCTTAAACATGTTTGTGAGCGCTCAATACTCCCATAACCGGAGACAGTGGTGTAACAGCACAACATAAGAACAAACTGTAATAAACAGTAGAAATTGGTTTAACTCAAAAGATCGGTACGAGACACAAAAACAACAAACATAAAAACAATAGACACAAAGCACCGAAAATGAAACAAGCCTGTCAACTCTGAAGTTGTGAGGTGAGGTGTATACAATTTAATCTTAACAGATAAGGTTTGTTAATTATGATGTCCAATGTCGGTGGTTCTCTCCGGGTACTCTGGCTTCGTCCACTCATAAATACGACCCAATGATAAAGCCAAGATATACAAAAGCGGCGCCACACAGCAAAAAAAAAACAAAATTAACACAATGTCTATGGCTTTAATAGATGTAATATGTTACATGTATATCGAATGGCCACGTTATTGATATTAAAAAGAAAACCCTCCACCGGTGATCAAATGACTTTGAGGCCAGTCTTACTCCTGGGTGACAAATAACCTGTAGACTTGTAGGGGTGACGTACTGACTACTTTGCGAAAAATATCACGTGAACTGAAAGGGATGAAGTGCAGATCTGTAGTTCTCTGCAGGGACTAATATGGAAAAATTTCCAATATACACGTGGGTTACAAATAACCTGTAGACATATAGGGGTGACGTACTGACTGTTGTGCGAAAAATATTGTGTGAACTAATAGAGATGAAGTGCAGATGTGGCGGGACAACATCCTTAGACAAAAAAAGCAAAAACAAATTGCAAAAAGAACCTCCCAAAGAAAACCCAAAATAAAACATGCCTTATGGAGGAAATATATTTTAGTGTAAACAATATTTTATTTTGAAAATATTAACGTAAACATTACAATATGACAGTTTATTAGGATTGGAAAACAAGTGAATTTCACTTTTACAAATTCCTCTCCCAGAAATATATTTTAAATGATCACTTGGGTGATAATGCCTTCTCAAGAGAAACTGACGAATAACACCCACAGATGACCTCATCAGACTCAATCAAAATTCTCTATTTCTTATTAAAAGGCCTTAATTTAGAGTATACAAATCTTAACAAAATATTCTTGAAAAGCTAAATTATTCAATATCAAAGCATACATTACATATTACAATCGTCCTGAACATGCATGAAATATTTGCCACTGGACGTTAAGCAGCTAACAATAAATCAATCAATTAACATTACATGTTACAACAAATATATAGGGACACATAGAATAAGACAAAGAGGGACAACTCTATATGATAAGTCATATTTATATGTCATCTGGACTATATTTTTAGACAGTCTATATAACGTATTATATCTTAATCTGTATCTTTTGTCCATGTCTCAAATAGAAAATTGTACTTATATACAGACTATATAATAATGTTTTAGCATAAAAAATTTCATTTGTCCTGGTCTAAATAAACATATTTTCTAATTGGATGTTTCTCGGATTTGATATAACTCCTAATTAATAAATTTTTTTTTTTTCAGAATTCTTATCTTAGTAAATAAATAAACAGGACAGTAAAGATAAAGATGAGGCCCCTCATGGGGGTGTTCAAGTAATCACATAATCACAATTTGTTTGCCAATATAATCACATAATCATTAATTATTTTTTTAAACAAGATAATCAAATAATCATGAAATATTTGGTCTGGTAATCAAATAATCACTATAAAAACAGCCGAATAATCACATAATCAAAAACCCCATGGGGAGGCTCAAAGATCGGATAATATTTTGTTGCATTATTTGAAGAATGCGCAGCAACTCAACCAGTCAAGTAAAGATATATATATTTTTTTACTTCTATTTCCGAGCAATATCATCTGAAGGTTCTCCTGGTGACAAATTTTGAGTACATTCCAAATTTATACTTACTCGTTATGGTGTAAATGTATAGTCAACTATCCAGTTTTTCATTGTAAAAAGCATATTTGAGTACTAGCATGAATGATTTCACTTGTTATTGTTAGATTTATGTCGTTATACGCTCTGCGCACTAGTTCAGAAAAAAGTGTAACAAAAATACCGAGCTCCAAGGTAAATACAAAAAAGGGAAGTCAATAAAAACTGACAATATCAAACGTTAGACTTTTATCAACCAACGAAACCAATATATCGGATATATAAGAATGACCAAGTCTATACAATTATATGAATGGTTACTTTAATAAAACTTTATATAATGGGCATCTACCAACAAAAGATTTAATTCACTCATGTCACAGACCCCCCAAATTAAATATAAAAACTAAAAACTAAAAAAAAAAAACAACATAAAAGACCCTAAAGATGCCGGTTTAAATCCAGTGGAATATTTTGAAAATGTCTACATACAAAACTAAAATATCAGTTAGTGGACACACCAGGTTTCCGTACAATATAAATATTTATCACATATTTGTTACGAAAACATTGGTTGTGCATATGTAATAACCGCACAATTGTCCTACTCATATTGCTGCCCGGTGCAAACAAGTGGTTATTGGTTATTGTGTCCCGGTTCCAAATGAAGTGACGTCATTGCGTCCTTCACGACAATAGCGAACAATGACGGTGTTAGTATTGAAAATTATGAGAATTATGCTACAATGGCCACTAGTAACAATGTCCAACCAACTATTATCGATTTAGGCCAAGTTATGCCAAATTCTCGCTTTTGTGTATTACCATATTCAAAAATAAGGGGAATGTTACAATAATTTTGTATGCAGTTCATATTAAAAATTAATGGAAAATGTGATAAAATCTTTTTAGATTTTACCTGTTGTGGTTTATCAAATAGTTATAATTGAACGTTTTTCTCTTTTCCGTAGAACTTAAATATGTGATAAATAGATTATAACATGTCTTTTCCATATTGGCCCTGGTATCATCCCTCGACCCATATCGGCCCTCGGCTAAAGCCTCGGGCTGATATGGGAGTCTCGGGATGATACCAGGGCCAATATGGAAAAGGGCATGTTATAATCTATAAATCTCGCTGTCAGATGACTTTTTTTAGGAAATTTGTATTTCACAAGTGATATTATAAAGAGGGAGAAATATTTTCTGATCATTCTGGTGGATAGTTTTCTCATTGGCAATCATACAAAATCACTTCATTTTTAGAATGCCATAGAAATTAAAAGAGATAAGATAAGATAAGATATATTTTATTACCAATTAAGGGCCCACAAGGGGCATATAGAGAATACATGTATACGGAAAAAGAACATTGATTAGCATAGAAACATAGAATTTAAATACACAATTACAATACAATTAGACTGTAAAAAGCCCTTGTTTCAAAGTATATAATATATTTATATGAGAAATAAATACTTCTAACTCATATTGACTTGAATAAATTTTCCAACAGCATTAAGTACATGATTGTCTTCACAGCTCAATAAATATATGAATTTTTGCTGATTGTCCAGTAAAGTAAAGTTTGGCATTTTATGGCAAACAGAGTCAAAGAGAGCATATCTATCAGAGTTTAATTTTTCACATGAAGTTGAAAAATGTATTTCATCTTCAATACAGCCAGAGGAGCATTTTTTGCAAATTCTTTCATTTCGTGGAATTAAAATGATATACGGTTGCCCCGGATGAACTCTTTTTATAATTGAATTATTTAACTGTATAGAATGGTAAGTTAAACAAGAGAGGTGAAAGATTCCAAAGGGACATTCAAACTCATAAGACGAAGATCAATTGACAAAGCCATGGCAACAAAAGAAAAAGACTAAAAAGACAAATAACAGTACACAAAACACAACTTAGGAAACTAAAGACTGAGCATTACGAACACCACCAAAAACCAGGAGTGATCTCAGGTGCTCCTGACCAGTTGCTGATACGGTCATTTCATTACCTCCATTATCTTTCATATACTTGTTTCTGACGTACAAAAGTTCAATCCTGGTATCTATGATGATTTTATTGTTGATATTTTCACATCAGACCATACGCGTAACGGACTACTTTTACTTGAGCCAACATTCAGTGATTGTAATTGTGAGTTCGTATAATTTAAAAATATACGCTGCAAAGAAAATCCCACTGACAAAAACCAACAGATTTTTAATAATTATTTTTTTTCTAGAACTCAAACGAACTTTACGTAAATCATAAATTACACTATTTTAACACAGCAAATTAAAATATCAGTAAGTTGACAAGCCAGGTGTCCGTACAAGATAGATATATCTCGCTGTCATGTGACCTTTTTTCTTCCTGGTTTAGAAAAATGGGTGATTACATTTGATTGATTTTGTTTAATTCCTAAATTAAGGCAAGCTTATAATTGTTACTATCACATTTCATTTAGGTGTGGCTATTTTAGTTGATAAATCTGTTACAATATATATGCAATATCATTCTAAAATACTAGCTACTAGCTAAAATTAATTTCAAAACGGGTCATAACATGCATTTAAAATGGAACGAAGTAAAAAAAAGAACTGATATTGTGACAAAAAGATTAATGTTGGTTTTCAATACTTATAAATTCTCGTTCTTTCATGTTTGTTTTAACATCATACAACTACTGTCACCTCAATTTAAATATCGACAGTTGATAATCATGAAATCTCTCATACATCATGTACATAGACTATCATTATGTGGGTCAATCGTAGAAAACATTGTTAAAGTATACTGAACATCTCCAGTAATACAACATTTAATTACGAAAGTCTGAGTTTTACAGTAATTGTTTGAATTTAAGCTTGTAGATTAAAAGACTAACAACAATTATTTTTGCAAGACAAAGATGATTGTCAGTTATGTGATCGAAATACACTGCTATCGGTCACTGCTAATATTCATCGGACATAAATGTTGTTGATTACTAATGTGTTAATGTCGAACTGAAATGAAATAAGCAATCAAGGTCAAGTAAGCAATGAGTAAGAGTTGTCATTTATCTTCGAAGGATTCCATAACTTGAAATTTGAATTAGAGTTGTTTTATTTGAATATGAAGAAATCATCCGTTAGGGCTGTGTACTTTTATTCTATCAGTCGAAATTATATAATCCGTTCGGGTTCTATAAAACATCTTAAACAGTTCGGTCAATGGTTCGTTGTTGTAAGTTGTATTGTGACATCTGGATGTATTCTAAAACGTGTTTTAAATAATTTTTTGTGATATGTACATGTTTTGTATATTTTTTATTAGCTGTTTATTGTATTATAATTCATGTTTATTATTGTATATTTACCTCTTTTTACACATATATGTGTCTGACCGTTGCTTTATATTAAATCTTGAAAAAATCTTGAAGTCAGCTGAACAGTTTATTTATCCCTAAGTAGATTTCGACTATTTCATAATTAATTAAGACCGTCAATGTTTTCTTGTTACATGTTGTTTTGTTTATGACATGTGAAGTAAATTGTCAATACTACTCGTAAAGGGTATATCTATTTTCAAGGCCGTCCACATTTTTCTAAAACAGATATCATATAAAAAATTATAAATATAATTCAAAAGCAAATAAGATAGCCTCAAAAAAGCAGAAAACAATAAAGTTGAGCTTTAAAATTCACAGGAATTGTAAAAAAAACCAGATTGATATTGATTAACATCTCTGAATTGATTTTTTTTCAGAGATCACAATGGCCTCTAATACAAGTATATGTGGTATATGCTTCCTTCGACAATTAACGAGACCATCCAAACACTGGTGCCCGGAATGTGAAGAAGCTGTTTGTGATGAGTGCAAAGAGCATCATAAATTACTGAAAGCCACACGAGGACACGAACCCATTCCAATTTCCAGTTACAAATCTCTTCCGTCATTCATAACTGACATACAACAATCATGCGACTATCACAACGAACAATATAAAATATACTGCAATGCACATGCGTTACCTCTTTGTCTCCAATGCATCAATGATCATAGCAACTGCAACGTCACTTCTCTTGAAAAGGTCACCAATAACGTCAAGACCTCTGGGCAATTTCTAGATATAGAATCAAGACTGAACGACTTATTACAAAACATCCATAGAATTAAGGAGGACCGGAAAGCTAATGTGACTAAAATTGAAGATATGAAAATAAAACATATTAAAGAAATTCGGCAGATAAGAGTTGAAATAAAAGAACATTTAGACAATCTTGAAAAACAAATTATTAAAGAACTTGAAGAGAAGGAGTGTCAATGTAAAGAGAGTATTCAGAAAGTTTTATCGTCGGTCAAAGAAAAAGAAACTATAATAACGCAATTTCAGTTGAATTTCAAAACCTTCAAAGAATATGCATCCGATCTTCAAACATTTATTGGAATGAGAGAAATTGAGATAAAAATTGACGAAAATGAACAATATTTGCAGTCGTTGATAGAGGCAAAAGGTTTCGAGCAGGTTGACCTTGTGTGCAATGTAGACACAGATGTGCATAGTATTTTGAACAGTTTAAAGAATTTTGGATCAGTTGAAATTAAAACTGGAACTAGCAACATTGAGTTGATCATAGCTACAAATAGGCAAGCACAGTTGCAAGTAGAAACGGAAAGACAGAATATAAATGAAGTGAACTTGATTCTACAGAATAAGATAGCAACATACGGAGACACAGTAAGAGGTTGTTGTATGTCAGAAGTAGGGGAATTTCTATTCACTGATCACTGCAAAAAGAAAAATTTAAATGTAATTTCGTCTAATGGCACATTTAATTTTATCATGTCGCTTGAATCTAGTGATGGGTTTGATATGACATTTGTTGATAAGAAAACTGTCGCTATTACAACTGGGACGTCACCAAAGAGGAACGGTATTGATATAATAGACATTAAGAACCGAAGTAAAATAAAGTTTATCAAACTTCCTGGACTTTCATTTGGAATCGCATGTGATTACGACTCGCTGTTTGTCTGTGTTGCAAAAAATGGTATCTTCAAAGTTAATACTTTGGACTATAATACATCTAGCGTGATCAGTTGTAATTTGTCCTGGTTTTCCTATGTATCTGTATTCGCAAATAAGATATACTACACTGACCTCTATGCTGACAGTGTAGTTTGCTGTGGCCCTAATGGATTACGTGTTTGGACTTTTAAAGAGGATTCAGTTTTGAAACATCCAAGAGGCATCACTGTAGATAATGATGGAAACGTGTATGTTGTAGGAGAACACTCGTCAAATATAGTCTTTATATCAAAAGATGGAAAACATCACAAAGAAATTCTGACCAAGGTGGATGGTCTCTGTGACCCATCTGCTATTTTCTTTGATAAGGAGAAAAGAAAACTCCTTGTTGCAAATTTGAAGCAAACTGCTTTTCTCTACAATGTTACTTAAAAGTTTTTGCAATCAAAACAATGGACATGAATAACAATTAACAATAAACTGAATGTTGCAATTTACTTGGTAACTGCTTTTCTTTACAGTGTTATGTAAAAAGAATTGAAACCAAAATGACTGACAGATCAATTTATTTAGATTTGTTTGTAAATAAACTACGTTAACTTGAAAACCTCTTTTATAAATGTAGGGAATCACAATTCAATACCAGAGAGGAAGGTCCCCGTGAAAAGTAAAATAACAAAAATACCGAACTCCAAGAAAAATTCACTACGGAAAGTCCCTAATCAAATGGCAAAATCAAAAGTTCAAACAAATGGATAACAACCAGAGAACAGTCTGCTATTTTTCTTGTTTAAAGGGGCGTTTACTTTGAGATATATAAAACAAATAATATATATATTTTTGTTCAATCATTAATGAAAGTGAAATAGTGAAATGATAATTCGCTTTTATCAGCCAATTTGGTTCAATTTGTCAAAATAAGCTAAGAAACATCGCTGATGAATTATTCACTTGCAAGTGAATAAATCGACCTCATTGAATCCGTATTCATGTGACCTTCAATTTAACCCCTTAGCTAGAGATGGGTTACGCATGAATTATGTGTGTTCGGTTATTAAAAGGAAAAGAATGTCAATATTGAAAGTGAAACAAGGGTAATTCATTTGATTGACTGATTCGATCCATAAAAACTCATTTTATACAGGTAAAAACGATGATTAACATATATTTTTAACCTATAATATGAAATCAAACAGACCTAGAAAAATCCAATTGCACGGGTTCGCTATCATTTTATATCTATTTTTCGAGTCTTCGGAGGTCACCTCGATAGTTAATGAGATGGTGTCTAGACTAAAATACACACGAAATGCTGATACATATTATCGAACCAATGCATTGTAAATTGTTTATTTTAGAATTTTTATGATTTGGATATACGTTTTAGTATGTTATAAATCAAATATGAGAATGTGAGTCAAATCGGGGAACACGAATTTGACAGCTAATGCCCTTTTAACAGACAAGAAAACTTAATGCTGCAAACTTTATTCAAACTGCTTTTCTCTACAATTGTACGAAAAAGTCATTGAAATCAAAACTATGGACATTCCTTTACAGTATAATTAAAAAAATGTTGATTTTTTGTAAAGAAACAAAACCAAAAACATTGAATTCCTGTTAAGAAATGTAACATGTCTTATAGGTTACTAATGGACAGGAAACGGGCAATGTGTCAAAGAGACTAAAACCCGACCAAAGAGCAGAAAACAGCCCGAGCCCACAAATGGATCATGGAGTCGGGCTTCAGACGATGCCTAAACAATAATATGTACTTTTCATTCCCTATTGTTAATTTTTCTTTTTTAGACGGCGATGTTCCTTTGGCTCCATCATACGGTGTTTATATATCTCAACTCGTTCGTTATGCCTGTGTGTGTGTGTGTAGTGATGTCATAGATTTTAACGAACGTAATCAATGCATCACTGGTAAATTATCAGGTCAGTGATTTCGTTACCATAAATTACGTAAAACTTTTACTAAATTCTTTCATAGATACAAAGATTTGATTAGTAAATTTGGCTGCACCTGTAGAAAACCATTTCACATCCTAAATTTTACGGTAATATTGTACATAAAGCGCGGAAATCACTATGTGATCTTTGTAAACTCATCGAACATATAAACAGACTAATTAGTAAAGGTTATCTTACCAATGATGTAATTAGATCTTTGAATATAGTTTACATTTGCACTAATATCGATTTTGTCATCAGCAAATTAAAACATAACTAAATTTGAATCCTTTCAAACAGGATGTATGAAGACATACCCACGTTCATTTTGATCTATAAAGAGGTCAACTCCTAACTATCCTATCTTACTGCCTGTCGATACATTTATTTTTGGCATTGCACAAGTCAAGTTTTCTTTGACTTCCATGACGTTAAAATACTAAATCCCTGAGATGTGTTTTAGTTGATTTTAGTCTCGATGCATGATTTTTTATTATTAATTGTTTTTGGCTTTTAACAAGTTGCCAGTAACTGCGAGTAATCTCAAATCGTACTTTCTTGTTTATTTGACCTGTTGATACTAATTGTAATTCTTTTTTGTTATTTAATGTTTACTTATTCAGGGTTATATCTGGTCTATATACCAGCTTTGATAAGTGTTTGGTATTACTATACATTTTCACTTCTTCGTACTATGAACATCAAAACAATTTATTTTGTAAAAATATTTTCTTTCTCCATTTGAAGCGTACACGTATACCTAATAACACAATTATTTTCATTTACCTGTGTTTAAAGTAATTGCAAATGACTGATATTTTTGTTCAAGCATATTGTTTTTCTTAAATTGTTTAACATTTCACAGCGGTATAACATGTTACTTTAATTATTCTTTCCTTAGTTTATTTATTTTGTATTTACATTGTATCATAGATCAAATTTAAGTGTTCAGTGTATGTTCACTGGTGTTAATATGTCTTTTGATTGAGTTAAGCCATTTCAATTGATATTTGATAGTGTGTCTTTCTATGTTGTGATGTTACACTATTGTTTCAGATAAGGGTGAAGGTTTGGTACCATTGAAACGTTTAAACCCGCTGCAATTTTTTGCATCTGTCCTAAGTCAGGAATCTGATTTTCAGTAGTTATCGTTTGTTGATGCGATTCATAAGTGTTTCTCGTTTCTCGTTTTTATATAGATTAGACCGTTGGTTTTCTTGTTTTACACTTGTAATTTTGGGGGCCCTTTATAGCTTGCTGTTCGGTGTGAGCCAAGGCTCCGTGTTGAAGACCGTACTTTGACCTATAATGGTTTACTTTTATAAATTTTGACTTGGATGGAGAGTTGTCTCATTGGCACTCATACCACATCTTCTTATATCTAGTTAAGCGCAATAGTTGCCAAACTTAACTCCGAAACATATAAATGAACCAAAATTTAAAGACTAAGAAATCTAGAGTTTTCTTACTTTGGAAATCGGAAAACTGCGGCAGGGTTAAACATGTTTTGTGAGATCTCAACCCTGCCTATTACCTCTAGCTTATGTGGAATAAACAAACACACAGCGATACGCTCTATGAAACTCTTAAAAAGAAGCAGTTTTGCATTTATATAAACCGAGAGTAGACCAAAGTATGATCTGTTAGTTCTACGTTTCTGTTTTCACTTACAACATATAAAACAATGACAGTAAATCACCGAGTATTTAATTGTGGTACATGTATACCTGTGTCCGGAGGCAAGTATTTCATACACATCAAGACAATACTTTGATATGATCGTAATGGATCAATGGTTTTTGGTTTTTATGACTTTTTGTTTTGAATTACGACATGCATCACTTTAGGCAATAGGGTTATCATGTGTTGTCGGAGAAGCTTGTGGTCATAACATCAAACGATGGGAAACATCACAAGGAAATTTTGACCAAATAAGACGTTATACATACACTCAATGTCACAATACTGCCTTTAATAATGAGCAAACCATTTACCGTAAAGTAAGAAGCTGATTATTAATATCATAATAAAAAGTGTGCGTATTTCAGATATGCTATAGTTTCTTTAAATTTGCGTCAGTTGGTATGTAAATAACAAAAAAATGTAACTGGTACTTAAAAATGCAGACTATTCAATATAAATTCAAAAAGTATTTTATTACATTGGTGGCAAAGAAAAACCGTGATTTCCAAGTGAAATAAAAACTGATAATTTCATATGTTAAATAAACTCGATAATTTAATTCCTCTGATGTCATTCAACAATAGGTTAAGGCGTTGTCGATGACGTTACATCAAATCAAATTGTGAATGCGTAGAAAAAGATAGAGTTCCTGGCATTTTCTATTAAAGATTTGTTTCAATTAAAATGCCCATTGTCACAGAAATAAAAAAGAATAACTAATCAAAGAATTCAAATATAAAATAAAACTCGTGACCGATCAATACTGCTGCGTGCATTCGTGAATTAATGCTTTGTTTGGTCACTCATACACCATATGGAATGATACGTAATCACGACTTGATGTTTGTCTGTGTCGACGGACGTGATAAACACAACAAAAAAACACTTTGGATTATACTAAACTTAACCTGTTTAGTCGTAACTTGTCATGGCCTACCTGCATATCTGCATTCGCCGACAAGATATACTACACTAAAGCCAATAATGACAGTGTAATTTGTTTTGATCGTAATGAACCACGCGTTTGGACTTTAAAGATTATTCAGTTTTGAGACGCGCGAGAGGCATCTCTGTAGATAATATCAGTAACGTGTTTGTTGTTGGGAAATATCGTCGAATTATATCACACGATGGAAAACACTACTAGGAAATCCTGACCAGAGAGGACGACATGTTGCGTCCATCTACTGTTTTTTTTTTATAGATAGAAAGGCAACTTATTGTTGCAAATTTCTCTACCATGTTACGTAAAAGTTAAACAAATAACAGTTAATTGTAGAAGTATTAATATCTTGATTTCTTTTGATTTATTCAATTATTCACAATAGTAAGTTGTAACTAATCCTGGGCATACACTACCTTAACCGTATTTGGCACACCCTTTCTCAAATTTTTGAGTCGTAACTTTATTTTCAATAATTTTTAACTTTGTATTCAATTCGGTCTTCCAACTGCCTTGATTTGAGCTTCTCTGGTAATTTGTGTGTAGAAGCAACGCGCGTTTGGCGATCCACATTAATAATCATGTATCTTTGATGAAGTTGTACAACCATTGGGTTAATACCGCTGGGAAATATTTTCACTAATAGTATACCACCCAATTTGTCGGCAACATTGTTTTGACACGAAAAAGATCTTAATAATATAAATAAGTCCATAAATTTACCAAATGTTGAATTATTTGTTACATAGGTATTTCTACCGCAAGGAATACTTAACCTTAGTCGTATTTGTCACATTTTTCTGAATATTTTGGTATGATTGTCTATCAACTTTGTACTTAATTTAATTTGTCTACTTAACTGCCTTGATTCGACCACCACTGACGAGTCTTGAGTAGACGAAACACGCATCTGGTGGATAGCTAGCTATTTCCTTCCCTACATAATCATTCTGTATCCAACATGTTCGAATTCTAACCATATAATCTAGATGCATGTTTACTCTTTCGTATCATATAAATGTAAATTGTTGAAATTTTGTTAAAGCATTTGAGAAGATTGTTTTAATATAAAATCATTAGCAGTAAAATGCTGCAGCATCAGAAATGTTTCAACGACCTATGGTTAGTTACTTAAGCAGTACATGCACACTTTAATAGTTTTAGTAAGGTTTTGTTTGTGTGCACGGTTTAGTTTTTTTTCTGAAAATATGACACTTGACTTTCAAATGTGTAGACTATAGTTAATACAAT